AAAAACTTTTTGTCCTTTTTCCATCTCAAAAAAATTTAACACACACAAAAAAAAAAAAAAAAAAAAAAAAAAAAAAAAAAATTCTCACTCCAGCTGGAAACATGGGAATCCAACAACACGAAGAAAACGTAGAAAGGAAGCAAACCTGAAATGTTGCCACCACCGCTGGGCTCCGTCTGGATCCACCGCTCCAACAACAAAGAGCCAAGCCGAAATGTAGCTCCGATGCTCCTCTCGGCTAGCTAGCCTGATGCATTCTCAACAAAACAGCGCCAATAACCCGTTTTATGCTACTCAGCCTCCATTTGGATGTCTGCTTGCCGACGTTTTTTCTCTCCCAGTCTGAAATCTGGATGGAAAATGACTTCCACCCTGTGAAAACACAACAGGCGGATCTCTCGCCCGTGGACTATAAACCTGGCCAATAAGCTATCGATATGTTGAAGTGGACTACTTTTAGCCAATTGGGTCCAGCTTCCAGCATACAAGCGCGCGCTGATTGGACGGCTGAGGAGCGACCTTGTAGTTAATATTACTACCGTTTCTGATGGAATGTGTTCGAAGTTCTACAACGCACACATTACATTCAGATTCAGATTTCAATCAATAAATTGTAAAAGCTGATGTGGGATAAAAGACATATGGGATGAAAGACATAAAACTCCCAGGTAACGCCAAAAAAACAAAACAAAACAAAAAACTATTTAATCATATTTAATTTCCTCTTATGATCAATGAAGTATTTTAAATAACAAGTCTATAATCTTAACAGTCAGAGCCAGAAAGATGTGAAGTATAATCCAGTGGTTCTAGTTCCATAAATGCTAGATTTAGAAAGGACTGGGAAGATCCTCCGAAAAGCTGTTGTGTGTAGCTGTTCATTTTATTATTGGGTCAGTGTGTACCGGCTGTAATCTACAAAGCATGGAGAACAAATAAAGCGATCCCTATTTGCTTTCTCAAGATCCTTGGAAATGCCTGAAAAATAGAAAAATAGAGTTCCTTCTTTGGGTGAAAAGGCGTGTTTATACAGTTTCAGCAATACCGGTAGTGGTGGTGGAGTCTAACCGGGAGACAAGGGCGGATGTAAACTACATTAAGAAATCATATTTAATTTCTTAAATATAATTTAATTAATATTA